GAGGAGGAGAATTTTATCAAGAAGCTTGAAGTATTTCACCCCCCATTTTTTTTTATATCCACCTTACTATTATTCTCAGTCTCTTATCTCTCATGCGATGGCAGTGGCCGCACATCAGACTTAGAGTGATCTGTCTCTGCCTCTAGGGCTTAGGGATGGGGTACTTTTCTCTTTGAAGGGCCAGTCATATACTGGGAAAACACTAATTGGAGTTCCTGCGCATGTTAAGGATAGCTCAGTTGTCAGGCTGAGTGAAGTTGAACTTCTCAGAGTCAAAATGAGTAGTATAAGAGCACATAAAGCTCAATTTCATCAGTATATCGAATGTTTAGAGTGTATGTCATTTCCACTCTACAAGCTGTTACAGAAAGAAAGAGAAAGAGCAGGAGCTAATGAATCACAGGATGAATAACAGGACCACATAGTTCATTATCACTTTGGAAATGGATCTAGACCACTGTACACAGCTTTATTAATCTCCATATCCTAAACCTTGGAGTCTCCCCTTTGACTGGGATGGATGGCCATAGCAACCCATGAGGGTAATGAGGAGAAATATGCTCTGGGCTGCAAAGGGACACATCTCCAAGGACTCAGAGGCCAGACCCCAAGGCCTGGTGAGGGTGGAGAGCTCTATCCCATGTAGAGCCTTGCTGTGATCCCAGAGGTACTGTCACCCAGGCTGCTGTGCTATCAGGATCCCTAGTCCCATGGATGTAAGTCACCTAGCCAGGGACAATTTGGAAGGCACCCATTCCTTTATCTATCCTGTGTCTGACCTACAGGGTCAGGCCACTGGGAGGTCCAGAGGAGAAGACCACTAAGGGTTCCTGTGGGGCATCTCCCATTCCTCCTCCCTGGCAGGGGCAGTGGAAAAGGGATACTTGGAGGATTTTCTGACTTAGTGGTTGATGACAGAGGGTTGGTGTTGGTTCTCTTAATCAAAAAGTGAAAAATTTCAAGGACTTACGTAGTAATTTAAAACCCTACAGTACCATCCAAATAATAGCATGCATGAAACAGCATTCTTAAAAGGAGATTATTTTTTCTGCTGTGTACTTTTAAGAAAACCACGGTAGTTTTTAATCTGCCTTGAACATCAATGATTTGACCAATGTAATTTACTTTCTCTTGATATATAGGCTCTATTAAAAAGATCTGAACATAGTTTTTAAAATAGGTGTCTTTACTGCTGATTATATAGCTGAAGGTATCTGTTGTAAGTGGCTCAAACACTTTAAAAATGGAATGAGCATTTTTTGGGGCTATATAGCTGTGTTTAGTGTAAATGATTTGAACAATATAGTAATGTAGAAAGTGGAAGTGGTCCTGTAGTACTATCCCTCAGCAATTGCCACAGTTAGCTATAAATTTGTTTCTAACTTGCAGGAGCTTAGGGACTAGAGTTTTAAGTGAGCTTGTGTTTTCATATTGGGTTACATTTGTTCTCTCTGCAAAAATGCATAGCATTAAACGGCAGCAAACCCATTATAATAACAACCAGAAAAATGAAATGTTCAGGTACCCTGAACATTTAAATGTACTAGATCTGTTCATTCTGTTGTCTTTCTGGTATTTTATGGTCATCGTAGGTAGGGGGTAAGAACCTTTGGTGAATCTGCCAACATATGGTATCTGTTCTTATTGCTCTTCTGTGTTTGTGAGATCATTATGGTGTTCTGACTTTTCATACTTAGGATCAAAAGATATATTGGTAGTTTAAGCAGTCTTTTTACATCCGTTCTCTAGATGGCTGCCTGGATATGATTATATAGTCATCAAATTTATCATCACATGCGGCTGTTTGAAGAAAACTTATTAATTTAATTATACCTCATGTTTCTTTACTGATGATTATTTGTTTATCAAACAGTATTGGGGGCTTTGTGTGTGCCTAGCACAGTGCTAGGATGTGAGAAGAGGGTAAACGGGGTTACTAAGACCCAGAGGACAGAGTGACTCTTTTTTGCTAGAAGATGCCAAGGAGGGATTTTAGAGGATTGACATTTCAGTGACACGAGTCATGAAAGTTTGGTAAGAACTTGTAGGTGGAGAAGAGGCTGGGGATGAAGAAACAAGGTGTGTCATGACAAAGATACACTTTACATTTGTTAAGTGCCCACTGTGTGGCGAATGCTGCCCGTCAGCTGATTTGATCCTGTAAGGTCTTTGTCCTTGTCCTTGTTATGCCCAGGAAGAAACTCAGGCTCAGAAAAGTAGTGTGACTTGCCCAAGTTCTTGAGTTACCACTTGGGGTCAGGATTCACACCCGTGGTGCTGGCCGTAGCCTGAGGCTGAGGAAAGAGCCCGTCTTCCTGTGGGAGGGATACCTTGGTGTGGCTGCAGTGCAGCAGAACCAGAACACCACCAGACTACAGCCGGCACCAGCCAGAAGAGAGTCCTCCAAGAGAGCCTTGGTGAAACCACATGTGAGGGTGATGAGGAGGAGTTGAAGAGGACTTTGGGGTGCCTAGTTGGGGCAACCATTGAATAAAGATTCACTGGACAGAGAAAAGACAAGAGGAGAAGGAAAGTTGTGTGGGCAGACGGGAGGAGGAGGAGGCTTGGGGGGGTAGAAGGAAGAGAGGGAAGTTAATGAATTCAGTTTTGGATCTGACTGAAATGCTGTCGATAGGAGAAATATGGGGCCGGCACCTGGGAGAGAATCTGCCTGGAGAAATAGATTTGGGCGACAGGTGAGGATATCTTGGGAGAAAAGGAAGAGAAACTCACTGTCATTGTAGATGCCGAATTTAAAGACATAATTTTTTGTAGTTGAGCCAAATTTGTTAAGTGAACTCCTGGAAATGCAACATGTGCACCTCAAAGCCGTCATCGTTATGCCGTGGGACATGGCCTAACCTTTGCATGTACTCTGCTAATATAATTGCCTTGCTGTCTTTGAAAGGTGACTTTTAATTGGGTTTCAGAGTAGCAGTTGCTGGCGAGGGCCTGGTTGCAGCCTTTCAGTAGATTGGGCCAGTTCATTGAGCGTTTCCTCTCTCTCGACTGGACACCTGGGCTTGGACAGTAGCCAGCAGTTACTGAAATGCCATCACTTACAGGATTGACCTTTAAGACACTGATTTGTTATATTATTGAGTTTTAACTTTTTTTCCTCTCAAATTTAAGTGGAGCTTTATTGAATACCGTGCTAAACTCAATTCTTCTCATTCTCTGTGGCCTTTTCATCAAGTTATTGCTCCCTGGTTCCTAGCATTTAGTCCTCTGGCTGGACAAGAGGCTTAAGAACTAAAGACAGCTTGCCATTTATGGGGCTTAGGACTGTCCGTGGGAAGCGTGGTGGATTATCGCACAGGCATGACTCAGAGTCCTCAGTGGACTGATGATTTATGCTCAGGTAACCTGAGAAGTCTCTTAGTCAGTTTTTTTTTTTTTTTTTTTTTTGTAAAATTGTGCTGAAAATTGTTTTTCTTAAGTTTTAATTTTAATTCCAGTGAGTTAACATACAGTGTGGTATTAGTTTCAGGTGGACAATAGAGTGACTCAACACTTCTGTGTGTCACCCTGTGCTCATCACAGCAAGTGCCCTTTTTAATCCCCATCACCCATTTACCCATTCCCCTACCCACCTCCCTCCTGGTAACCATCAGTTTGTTCACTGTAGTTAAGAGACTGTTTTTTGGTTTGTCTCTCTCTCTTTTCCCTTAAGTTGGAAATTCTTATCTCTAGGATTATTGTCCCGAAGTTTTTACATTTATTTGAAGAAAGTGAGTACATAACTGTCACACTGAATAAACAAAACTTTGGGGGTGGGTGGGAAGGTGAGATGAAAGAAAGAACTCTGTTTGGCTTTGGCTCACCCTTAGAGCAGCTCTGTGGCACTGGTTCTTTTTATGCCCTAGGAAGACATCCTGGGTAGGTCCAGTCTATTTTCTGATCATTTTCGTATAATAAAAAGCTTGCCACGGGTGTCTGCCTTTGGCTCAGGTCATGATCCCAGACTCCTGGGATCAGGCCTCATGTTAGGCTCCCTGCTTAGGGACTTTGCTTCTCTCTATCCCTCTGCTCCTCCCCTCAGCTCATTTTCTTTCTCTCTCTCTCTCCCATATAAATAAATAAAATCTTAAAAAAAAAAAAAACTCGCCAGTCACATTTCCTTTCCAGACAGTCTCAGTTTGGTAATTAATATGCCGACCTCAAATAGACTGGTTTAAAGTGAAAGCTTCTCCCCTGGCACAGATTTCAGATTCAGTTTGTCAAATTCTACCAAAAATAAAGGCTGATGAAATTATAGATTAATTTACTTAATAGAGATGATAAACACATTTTCTTAGATTTAGCCTTAAGTTATTTGTATTTGTTGTTGCAAATGCTGTATTTTCAAAATTAAGCTTTGAGTCTGTTGATATTATACCAAAGTGCAATAAATTTTTGTATATTGATTTTATATCTAACAATTTTGTCCACTGCTCTTATTCTAATAGTTTCTCAATGAACTTTTAGTATAGGCCTATTAGCTGTGAAAATTTTTTCCCCTTGCTTCCCATTTCTTGTGCCTTTTCCCCTTCATTTTTCTATACTGCCCTCCAGGTAGAATTAGTGAATAGAAGCATTGATAACTGCCATCTTTTTCTTATTTTTGATCTTAGAAGGGCTGCTTGTACTGTACACCAATGGGTAAAATGTTGGTGAAATTTACTCATTTACACTGAGTAAATTTTTGCTCGGTATCTTTTATTAGGTTTAGAAATTTCAGTAAGGAATTTTAATTGTGTGTCTTTGTAGAGTCTTATCAAATTACCTTTTCCATATCTAGTGAGGTGTTGTGGGCTGACTTTTACAGAGGGTGTTAAGATGCAACCTATTGTATCTTCTAGGTGCAAAGTCATTGCCAAGTGGACTAGGAGTGATATTACGTTTTGAAATAGGATTTACATAATGCTGATGCATTTTTAAAACATAGACCCATGTAGGGAAATAACTGTATTTTATGGTCATGCTTGAAAACTAAAACTAAACTTTGTTTTTCTCTCCAGTACTACTTTACTGTTCTTTTTGGCCATGAAGGTCAGAAACCTCTGGAGCTGCGCTGTGAGGAGGAGCAGGACGGTAAAGAGTGGATGGAGGCCATTCACCAAGCCAGGTAGGGGCTCAAATCCTCTTGTGACGCTGAACTGGCCGGGTCTCTCGCATTGGGGTTTTTCACTGTTGGCTGTAGTTTTGGAAGAACTTGCAATCCCTTGGTACCTCCTCATTAGTCATGTGCGAGATGATTCTCTGAGCCTTCTATGGCCATATTCTAGCTAACAGTGAAAAGTAATAGATACAACGATAGTAATAATAGGTCACTTCGGTGGACTGTTCCTATGTGCCAGGTGCTCCTCTGAGGGCTTCTCAATTAAGGAATTTATTAAATGTATTGATTTTGCTTATCCTCTCCACAATCTGAGAGTGAATATTATAATTACCCCCTTTTACAGAGAAGTAAAGGGAGGTCGGGAAGGTTAGTTTGCTTGTCCGAGGTCACACAGCTGCTAAGTGGCAGAGCCAGGGATATGGATGCAGCCAAGCTCACATTTGTAAACCCTGCCCTGGGTTTACAAAACAAGTGCTTATCAAAAAGGGTGATGCTGCTTATCAAAAAGGGTGATGCTGACTCTATCCAGGGAGAGAGAAGACCATGCTTTTATTTCCTCCTAAGAAATACCAGGAAGGTAGAAAGAACACACTCGGCCTCACACAAGAAGAAATCTGAAAGAGACCCAGGCAGTTCCCTCTCTTTTATTTTTCAAATTCATTTCTGAAATCCAGTCCATTTTTTTTTTTAATTCATAAGAGACACACAGAGAGAGGCAGAGACACAGGCAGAGGGAGAAGCAGGCTCCCTGCGAGGGGCTCGACGCAGGACTCGATCTCAGGACCCCAGGATCACGACCTGAGCTGAGGGCAGATGCTCAACCACGGAGCCGCCCCGGGCGTCCTAGCCCAGTCCATCTTTGCTTCATATGGCTCCCATCTCGCTGCTTGCCTGCCTGTCCCCTCCCTGTCCATCTCGGGTGACTCTGTAACTCCCTGTTCATCTCCCAGGTGCTTCAGTGGCAAGAACTCTGGCTGTGCACAGCTTCTTTTCCTTCACCTGACAGGCCCCCTGCTTCTCCTCAGTGCCCCATCTTGCCTCTCCCTCCCCGTCCCTGTAACTGCCCCTCACAAGGAGCCCTCGGGGCCTCCTTCTCCAAACCGCTCTAGCACTTGCATTACTGCACGTAGAATATTGAACGGTCTAGTACAATTTAGGGCTTGTTTGTTTGTTTGTTTGTTTGTTTTTACATAGTTCACATGTGTGATTTCTGTGTCTTGAGCTGGATTGTATGTATCTTGAGTGAGGAAGAGGATGCTTCATTTCTGAACAAAGCACAGTGCTAATTATGTAGTAGGTGACCAAGAAATACTTTCAGATTGACTATAACGAGGATGGAGCATTTGTTCTGAGTTTAGACTCTTCTTGAACCCTTGAGATGTTGTTTCTGGAAGTCTCCTCCCCCTTTTCCCCTCCCCACCCCTCTCGTTTCTTCAACTACTTTATATTGACCAGCTACCTACCTCTTCTGTGGCAGGCAACACGCTGAGTGCTTTACATACCTTACTTATTCCTCACAACTACCCACTTTCCAGATGAGAAGACAAAGGCTCATGATTTTAAATTTTTTTTTTTAATTTATGATAGTCACAGAGAGAGAGAGAGAGGCAGAGACACAGGCAGAGGGAGAAGCAGGCTCCATGCACCGGGAGCCCGACGTGGGATTCGATCCCGGGTCTCCAGGATCGCGCCCTGGGCCAAAGGCAGGTGCCAAACCACTGCACCACCCAGGGATCCCGGGGCTCATGATTATTAAGCAGATTGGCCAACATCTAACATGAATTTGTTCAGCTGCAGAGCTCGGCTTCGAACCCAAATCAGTCTGACTCTAGAGCCTGTAGCCAGTGTTTTGGATCGTACCTGTCTTCATTCTCATCTTTTTCTCCTGAGTCTTCCTCTTTTCTATTTTTTTTTCTTTTCCTCTATTCAGAGATGCAGATAGATTCATGTAAGGTCAGGATTGAGAATTGAGGATGTTATTTGCAAAATATTTCAATTCCATTTCCTTCCTCCTCCTCAAAATCTTTCTTTGAGATGCACAGGGTTGGCAACCAAAGGCTGCTCTCTGAGGGGCCCTGGCACACGGTTCAGCTGTCTTTTCTCTCATTGTTTCTGTCTGAGGGTTTTGCTCAGGGATCTCCTGTAAGGCACAACGACTGGCTATAGAAAGAGGGTCAGGTCTTCAAAGGTGAAAGGAGTATCGAGTGGGAAAGGTAGCACCTTTGCGTTCTTTCTAGACACCATCTCTGTGTAATTCCTATCTACCTGGGAATTAAAATGAGTAAATAACTTAAAACGTGTGTTTGCTCTCCCCTCTTTATTCATTCCAGAAGTCAGATACTTTTAGTTAATACCTTACCTTTGTAGTTGCCAAGCAAATATTGTGGTAGTCCAAATACAGAGTATGCATTACTTCAGAAATGATTTTAAGTGGACGCCTGGATGGCTTAGCAGTTGAGCGTCTCCCTTCAGCTCAGGTCGGGATCACGTCCCACATCCGGCTCCCTGCATGGAGCCTGCTTCTCTCTCTGCCTGTGTCTCTGTCTCTCTCTGTGTGTCTCTCATGAATAAATAAATACAATTTAAAAAATAAAGATAAAAAAATAAATTAAAAAAAAAGATTTTAAATAAGTTTTTTTTTCCTCTGCCATGAGAACTTTGTCATACATGGGGGTGTGGGTCAGTATTTGGTATTGATTGACATATGGTCAAAAGCAGGGCACTTTTGGTCTTGTTAGGAAACATAGACTTTAGAAACCACTTTAGTGGTTTAGGTGATCAAATGATCAAAATTCTCTTCTCTTGTGGATTTGAAGACTTAGTTAATAATTGATTTTTTTTTTAATGTCCTGACTTTTTTGGTCCATTAAATTTGCTCTTCTTTTGATTTATGGCCCAGAACTGGATTCTTTGATGACTTCTTTTTAAACAGACTACTTTATACTTCAGTTCTTATATTTGACTTTTTGCATTGAGTTGCTTCTTAAATTTTTTGTTTTATAAATCAGGGAAGATAACAATTTTTTCATTTAAGTTTAAGTTGAGTTTTTGGTGTAAACTTTGATCTGTGAAATTCATTCTGACCATTCATACATGTACAGAGCCAGAAAGTTAATGAAGCTGATTCAGAGAAGGTGTTCGTCAGCCAGTTTTGCTTGGCATTGTGCTAATTACACAACTGATTGGTTGACTAAATATTTCACCTTTAGAGGACAGTCTGATGTCATTAATTTGGTGCTACTGCTTAAATAGAAAATGTTCTATGGTTTTATTAATCTCTGTTTTTAAAAGTCTGAGGTTTTTTTTCTTTTTCTTTCTTTCTTTCTTTTTTTTTTTTTTTTGCTAAAGTCTGAGCTTTTGATTAACTGATGACTATTTTAGCCTGAAACTAGTTCTTTTCTGAGTGTCCTGCCAACACTACATAGAAACACTCAGAGTCTTTCTCCTGGTCTCTGCTATTTTCCTGGGTTGTCTTCTCAGTACTGGCTTGGGTCTGCTGTCCTTGCGTGCCATGAAAATCACATTCTTGCTGCTGGCTTTTCTACCTCAGAGCTGAATCTACTTGCTCCAGTTTGCCTTCAGAGAGGATCTCTGGGTCATTTTCCGGGATGTTGAGTTGCATATTTTCTCCCTTAGATGAGATTCAAGGAAAGTCTTTTTTGGAAATTATATTCTCATTTCCAAGCTCTGACAGGGTCCAGAAAGCTTGTTTTACAGTTTTTCTTGAAGTTGGCCAATACTACATTTCTAGAACACTGGCACATTTAAAATATCATTCCATCACGTATTATTGGCACCAGTTCATGGGAAGCTGCTAGCAAGACTCGGTCTTATTTTTGTCTGGATGAGGTGAGGCCAGAGCATTTTAATGGCATTAAAATCTATGCTTATTCCATAAGTGGTTTGGTAGTTGAGTATGGAACTTTGGATACTCTCAATAACCTGATTTTTTTCTTGTTGTCTTCCTCTTGGTCATATCTCTCCACTATGTTTGATTTAGTCCTTGACATTAGGACAGTCAAAAACATTGACTGAGTTGATTGTGGGTCCGTAGGTCTCATTGGCTTTAAAGACAGCATCCACAGCACTTTTTCTCAACTTTTCATATGCTGGAACACTGACCAAGCAAAGCCTCAGCAGTTAGAAGGTGGTTATGACCGGGAAGAGGAGCTAGGTGGGTAGAGGTACCAAAACTCTACCCATTCTGATCTAAGCATAAGACCCAAAGGCCCCGGGCTATGACAGTTAAGAAAAGAGAAGTGGAAAGTATTCCAGAGATGCAGTGGAAGATAGACTTCTCCCAGGACTTTGTGACCACCTGGATGCGGGTGGTATTAGATCAGGGTGCTAGCCTACACATCTCTCAGGCCCCCCATCATGGATAGTGTCACTTCCTGGGGGAAGAGATGATGGAGGAAAGCAGGTTTGTGGGGCAGAGATGATGAGCACAGGTCAGGAAGGGCCTCTGTGGGGAATTGGAGAGTTTACTTGCCTTGAAGGGGCAGTCAGGAGCCATTCTGAGGGCTTCCTTTGCCCTTGGCTGTGCAAGATATGAGAAAATGCGTATCAGAAGCTACTAGAGAAGCAAGGTGTGTTCTAAGGGGAAAGCTGACTTTGGGTTTCTATCAAAGCTGAGGTTAGAGGATGACTTGTGAAAAGTTGCAGATGGTAGAGACTATTGTGCCTGGTACAGCGCACCACGGAATGTTGCAGCTTTTTTTTTTCTTCCTGCAAAATTATGGCTTATGCTTTCTGTGTTTGAGACAGGCCTACTGTGTCTTTTGCTTGCTTTCTAATTTTTTGAGCTGCAACTCTGCTCAAACCCCATCTTGACTCTCCTCCATCCTCTTGGTGTGTGATTCACCTGTGGCAGGTGAATCTTAGACTCTTCTCAGTGGGGAGGACATTTGCGAGTGAAAAGGAACTGGGCATCGTGCTTCCATTCTGAAAAGCTCATGTTAGATTTAGGTTGGGAGGGGCTTGACATAACCCATTCCTGCACCCTG